ATTAATGTCCTTTTTTATTGTTACTGAGAGTCATTCTCACCTATGCCTGATGCTCCCAGTTTTCAAATTTTCTATACCTTCAAATAGATAAGTGATCAGTGTTTTTATATCTATACATCCCCCCTTCTGATAAAAAGATAAATCTTTGTAATGCTACAAGTTAAACAGCACATTTTATTTCCTTACCATATTAAAAATAAACGCTTCCTGCACACTCCCTGCTCAAATTACATGGATTTTCTTTAAGATTAGGGCACACATTGTAACAGCAGCATATAATTTTCCTGCACAATAATTTTTTTTCCAGTTGAAAGGTATCCTATAATATCATCAGCAACAACAGGAACAGACACCTGATTTTCAGCTAGACAATGCTTATGCATTTGGTGACTTCATTCCTTGTAAAAAGCACTTTTCAGATATAGAGCAGCTAGATGAAAATTTGAAAACAATCTGGCAACTCATTCTTTGACCACAAAGTGCAAGACCAAAAGGAGATGTAAAAATTGTGCCAATAATAAGATGGTACAATGTTTTCCCCTCAATATCCTATTTTTGTTACTCTAATTTCATCCTCTGTTAATTTTATACACATTCAGAAATGTCCTTCCTAAAAGCTGTATTGATTCCTTGAAAAACTAAGTATGGAAGAAAAAAACTTGTTTATCCATTTAAGAAATCTTGTTGAAACAACTATGTACATAACTGCGGATAGAAAGGCTACACATATCCCAGATATATCAAAATCATCAGCATGTTCCAAAGACGGAAGGTTAAAGACCAAATTCCTACTACCTAGACAAGGTATTAATTCTCATAATCTGTTGTGATTCCTTTCAGAGTATGGAAACTGCAAGTCACCTGTGCTTCAGAAAAATACTTCAGCATGAACTTAAAAGAGCCAATCAAGAAATCTCTACATTGAGCTACGCTGGTTACAAAATACACATTTCTCTTTTTTTTTTTATTCCTTTCAGAATTACCAGCTGAAGGTCTGTGCTACAGAAGACACCGAAGTATAAGCCAACATACACAAAAGTCTGATTTTGCTTTAAAAACAAGCTATTTATAAAATTGCCAGTGTCAACACATCTTGTGCACAAAAGTCTGTCACCTTCAGCTGCTATTGACTGTTACAATCATAAAGTATCAAGATGATCCAGGTAAAAGAGCCACATAAGTACACAAAATTTAAAAGAAACAAATATAAGTTTTATTAAGTTACAAGGAAATTTCATAAATATGAACTTTTACTTTAATACTTAGAAGGTGAGAAGAAAAAAAAACTGATTAAAAAAATACTACTACTTTTAGGCCAAAACGGTGCTATTTTCTATATCAAATGCATGTTACTCTTAAGGATGGAGCTGACATTATTTGTAGTAAAATAACTCACTTAAACATATGTTGTAACTTGACCAAATAAAAAAAAAACCAAAATATGGCAACACAGTAAGTAAATGTATTCATTTTAGTAGGGTGCATATGCTCAGTTTTATTTTTTATGGGTTATCAGTGTTCTCCATCAATTTGCTAGAATTGACAAAAAAGTTATGCTTCTGTAATTAATCAGTTTTAAGCTAATTTGTCCTTATGAAACCACTCTTACAAGCCTACAATTCAACCATTTTTGTTGCATACTACTTTGTATTATTGAGGTCAGTCCTGAGATTTAACCACAAACATAGTTATCTTTTGGAGGACATATGGCAAGATCTCCAACTCTTTGTAGCTTTGGAAATTTACATCTGCCTGTTCATTCAAGATGCTAAGCATACATGTGTTGACAAATAGAAAATAGCAGATGGCAAAAAGCAAATGCTCAACATGAAGCACTGGGGATCATCTGAAGAAGGCCAGGACTCAGACATTTGCCATTTTTATTTTAACAGCAGAATTATTTTTAAAAATAAATTCCACTACCTATTATGCTTGATTCTGATGAACATCTGTGATCAGAATATTCACGATTATAGAATGAACATCATAGTAATAACTGCTGTTGGTATCCAAGATACAAGTTGCTTTAGAAACTTTCAGATATTGAAGTAATTAGCACAGTACAGATCTTCAGAAGGTTAACTTCTGCTGCTACACAAGCCAGAAAACATTCTGTACTGACCATATAACTTGTCATTAAATCTTTTAATAGGCAATACACAGCTGTGCTCATCTGCTATTCCAGATTCTGAAGTGGAGTTACTCCAATAACTGACTACTACCACAGCACATAATAACACCTGCATACAGACTGGTTCTCTGCCCACACCAATAATTCTATTACTTCTACCACCAGTATCTCCAACGACAGCTTTAGAAAAACCAAAAGATCACTTTATCAGGGGTGTGAAGCTACCAAGAACTTCAAGTACAAGCTCTACTTGGGCAGCAAGGGAGTTACTTCACATGAATAGGGCACAAGAGACAAGATGAGAGATCCATCCAGTGCTACGTCTTTTACTAACAACAAACACTGGATGCCTAGGGAATAGTATCAGGATAAGACAAACTTACAACTCCTTTATATGTTCCACCAACATTCCGAAGTCCATAGCTCATGGATTTCTGAATCAGAGAAAGTGTTTTTTTGTGTTAAGATGCCGTGACAGACTTTTCTTTCATGAACATCTGTGGAACCTCTTGGACTCAACAACATCTGTGGCAATGACACTGTAACTACGTACTATATGAACACCTTTTAGTGAAGGTACGTAAGTGTAGTCTCCAGTCACTCCTATAATCAATGAATTTTTAAAGTGCATAAAAATGATTACTGTTTTATTATCACCATGCTTTCACAGACTTTAGACTGACTGTGGTAGATGCTGTATTAGTAAGTGGACAAACAAGGTGAGTCTGTGACAGCTCAGCTAAAAAAGACAGGACACATGGTAATAAGAGACAAGCGGCAGATCTGCCTTGGAAAAAACACCTACAACTAAACATCGGTGTGGCTGTTTAGTCAGAGAGATTTATCACAGGTAGCAAAATAATTCTGAGCCAAACAGCAAAATTAAACAGCAAAATTTACAAAAAAACCCCCAAACCCAACAAACCCAAATATCTTCATTTTCTCTAACATTTCTCACTGACTTTTCAAATAAAGGGCAACAACAAATTAGTTTGGAAATATACAGGTTCTAAAGAAAAGCTTTTATATTAAAATAATATTTTCATGTTCTAAAACTACAGTTACAGAGGTAAACAGACAGTTGTAAACTTCAACAATTCTCACTTCATACTTTTATTACACGGAGGTACAGCACTGTAACACAGAGGGTCAGCTTCACTTTTAAAAAAAATTCATACAGGAAAGGCACTACATAGTTTCAGTTCTGTGGCAAACAGCTTTGAACGATACTTTACATATGATTTTAAATCCATTATTATACATAGATTCATAGTGAAAGATACAAATTCATTTACAGTATTCAGTTTAAATTAGTCTCCTATCTGAACAGCACTTATTTTAAACTGTGATCCTCCTATTGTTTTCATTAAGGAGAAACAGATCATTATTATTATTCACATTTTATTAGTAATTCAGTAAAACAAAAACATTAGGAGGTCCAAGAAAACAATTATTTCTATTCAAAGCACAACTAAGCAGCTTAGTTTCCAAAATGCTCTCCTACATTGATTCTTTTGATGTTTAACAGTGAGCACCAATGGATTTATGTCCTATATTTGCATGCAAACATTTTGTGTTTGTTTGAAAGTGTTGAAACTTGAGTTTCAGACAGAAATAAGTTAGCCTGAAGCACTGAGAAGGAATAAATGTACAGCAGGACAGCTTAGGGAATTCAACTGAAGAATAACAAAATGTGTCAATTTAGAGCATACTGGTGAAATGACCTTTAAAACAGTTTTCATAGGGACTAGAAGTAAAAAAAAACCCAACCAACTACCCAGACAAACAAACAAAAGCCCCAACACCAACCCATTAATTTATATCAACTGTAACAAAACTCAGTCTCCTGTAGATTGACATTCTCTTTACCTCACTTAAAAATCCCAGTAACTTCTCACATTCATTCTGACACCTCAAACTTAGCAAAGTCTGCCATGCATGCGCTCCCTAATGCCCTGCCAGTGCTGATAGTCCAGCTAGCAGCTACCTAAAGGAATATATAAAAACTGAATTCTGCTCACCCTTTCCCTCTTCTCTACCAAGCTGCCAGTTTTCAAGAAACTTAGGAATTTAGCTACCTTGGCAATTCTATTTGTCTATCAAATGTGGCTGAAAACAGTCAACAGTATTAAAAAACAACCACACCCCACTTTCCTCAGAAAGCCAGACCAAAGCTTCATTTCAGCACAAAGCCTGAATTCAGGGGAAGGAACAGAACAGAACAACCAAGAATCACACAATGTAATCTGGTAAAACTCATTCTTATACAAGCATACCAGGAGCACAGGAAAACCTAAGAGAATTCACCGAGTATCAAGTCTTAACGCATTACCAAAACCAGGACTCTACAAAAATGCACCAGAAACTTCCAAATAAATTGAATATTAACATATTTTCCTCAGACGTTTTGTATGCCATTACCACAGCCTATCAGGAAGAACTTTTTTTTTCCTCTTTGCATCTGGTCTTCATATAGTCAAGGGTTGCACTCAGCACACGAACTGCACGCACGACAGTAAATACCAAAAGTATCAATTAGCACATTTCATGACTATGTGCTACAACGACCTTCATTGACTTGTACACCTGATTATCCAGCACCTGAGGAACAAGCATTTGACTCAGTTCATTCATGAATGTTTAGTAAAGCTGGGAGATATACCATTGTTTTGTAACCAGAAAAACAACCCCTTTTTGTGAAATATAATGATAAGTCATAAGCTCCAAATATTTATTTCAAACTTAAACCATCCTCAGTGAACTGATACTACAATCACACTCTGATTAATCCTATTAATACCAAAAAAAGTAGAAACAAAACCTCTTCTCGGCTTATAAAATTTATCTTAAATAACAAAAACATACTTACTAATAAAGCAAGTTTTTGGTACTTCCGTTTTAGTTCTGCCAAACTGTCCGATGGATTTGCGCCCAGGATTTTGTACCAGTCCTTTTGTGTAACCCTTTCAAAGGCCATGGTCCGACTGGCTTTGAAATTACTTTCTTAGCACTGCGTAAGAGAATTAAATAAATATAATTACAACTTGAAAAAGAAACAGTTAGAAAAAGCAAAAATTAAGAACTGTGAGAAGCTACAGGATCATGAAATAGACTGCAGCCCTCAAACACATCTATTCCCCTACATAAGATCTCTAGTGTAAAAACACAGGTACATTCACACAGCCATTGCACCCCACAGATGGTAGTAGATGAAGTGATTTAAGTTATATGTTGTGTTTCCTGTCCCAGTTCCTTAGTATATCATGTTTCAGAAATATTTCTAAATACACATTTTTATTTTGAAGCAATACTGTCCTTAATATATGAAATGAAGTACATAAAAGTGACATTTTGTCAGTTCTGGAATGAGATACAGGCAAGAAGACTAGAAGGTATGGCTTGGGTTTCGCGCAATGATATTCACAGTACGGACCCTTCTTACCCATCCTGCTGGCTAAGAAGACTCAACGGTTCAATATTAAAATACAAAAGTATAAGAACAAACAAACAAAAATGAACCAAAGCACATGAAGCTAGCACAGGTCCCTAAGTAAAACCTAACTAATCAAGAGCTTCTTTATTGGCCGTCTATCATCAAGCTAATGACCCAAAATGGAAAAAACAAACAAAAGAATTAAATGCAGGAAAGAGCACAGTAATGCCTGAGCTTCAAGCTGATTTCTAGGTATCCTGAAATTTCAAGCTTGTAGTGGCTCATTTAGCATGAACTTCCTGACAAGAAGTAATACTGTGTTCCAGTAGAGTTTCACAAGCTCCGTCTTTTTGGTGTTTTTTTGTTTGGTTGGTTGTTTTTGTATCGTTGGGGGTTTTTTTTGTGGTTTTGTTTGTTTTTTCTTGAAAGGAAGAAAAAAATATGTTTTCCATTTCAGCACTAAAACTGGCTTCTGGTGACTACCGTCATACTTCAGAATAACTCCTTTTTCATGGAGGAAGAAAGCATGCTTTTCGAACTTCGCAGAGCCACAGTCGGGAGGACATACCCGACTGCAGGGTGGTCCCCCATCTTTTGGGAAGATACCATGTCCGTATGCCTGCCCCTCCCACTCTGCACCTTTCCCCGTGAACGCACCTTTCTCCCCAAGGAAAAAACACGCG